GAAAATTCAATTGAAAAGCGAACGTTAAAAAAATGGTTCTATTTTGTTTGATAGCCTAGAAAAACTGAGTATACTCTGTATATCATCTGAATAAAATTGAGGAAAATCTTTATAAAAAAATGACAAAAAAATTTAAAAAAAATTAAAATGGTTTAGAATCAATTGAAATTGACTTTGAAGCTACATTTTTGGATCGATTTACATCAATTTTTTATTGAATGAAACCAGTTTTTGAGGTATCTGCTAAATTTGTAAGAAACTGATTGCAAACCATATCTTGTCAGTACGGGTACGTCAAAGTGTTACAACGATTGTTTTTGAGGTGATTGATTAAAAAAGAAGGGTCAAACTAATTCTGATGAAAATCTGTAAGAGCAATTTTATTGCCCGAAAATCTTCAAAAGTTTTGAAATTTGCCGAAAAGTTTCGAATTTGTTTTTTATCAAGCAATCATGGAAGAAAATGGATTTTGGAAATTTGTTTTCTTTTGCATTTAAAACTTTTGTGGTCAAACTTTTGTTTTTTCATAATTTTTCATGATTATACATATGCAGCAGCTGATTTTTTTTTGAATTTCAAAAGCAATTAGCGATCATTACGATCATAACGATAACTTCGATCATAACAGATAGGATTGGAATTGCTGTACGCGGGTTTTATGTATATTTGCAAAAAACCTGGAACTTGTGCACGTCTAAGATACCATAGATTCGATTAGCTCGTATGGGCAATGCGAATGGTTAAGTTTTATTTCTGTGATTACTAGTTTTGTACTCAGTGACAGCAGGCAATTTTGTTTGTGGAAATAAGAGTTTTTCATTTTTTTTGTAAAAGAAATTTTTTTTATTTAACAGCTTAATTTTTGAAATCTGATTTTCACAAATCATCCATTCTCGTTAAAAACAGCGATCTTTTGTAAGGAAAAATATTGTTTTCAGGCACACAATCAAACAACTACAAATTTTTGGTACAAACTATAAACCAGTGTGAAACCTCTGAGACGGGTATTCGACCAAACTATCCGTTATCAAACGTCTCTCAGCTGAATTTTTTTCGCATTTTATATGAAGCTGAAAATGTGGAAAAACATTGGATTAAAAAATTTATATAACAAAAACGTAGATGTGTTAGACTGGCGATAAACAGTATAAATTCTAAAGTAAAAACTGAAGCAACTATAAATTTTTTAGTTTTTATTTAAAACACCACCAGCATGACGAAAATGATGAAAATGAGGTTCGTCAAATCGATTGATTATCAGGTTTGCCCAACCAAAACTGCCCATTATGAGGCTGTCCAAAAACCTGTGAACTTTGAAGCTAATTTCTGTAGTTGAGGCTTTCAATATTGTTTTTTTTAAAGTCAGCTTGATATCGGAGTGAGTCATTGAACAATCTCCTATTCGTGTGATTATTGAAATGTTCTCAGGTTTCATTGTATCGTTTTGCTCACAGCAATTTTTACATTCCTTCTATTTAAAGACTTTATACTTATTTGTGTGTTATCTTTCCTGTTCTGAAGATATGTTTTTATAATCAAATTTTTGTAGGATTCTTATTACAGGAGAATTTTGTGAAGTCTTAAGCTTCTTGTAACAAAAACTCCACGATAGCGAAATTTTTTTATCCAAGGAGACATTTATATATCTATTACGTCTATTTTTGTTATTCTGAACACGCTATTACGTTTACTGAGTTTATTTCAAAATTACTTAATGGCAAATCAAGCCAATTTACTTACCCCATTTCTTCACCGGGTTCAGGCACATTAACATGACGGATCAAAACAGGTTCCGTTTCTTCTAATTTTTTGGTTAAATATAATGGCACCAGGGCAATTGAAGCTGCGACAAAAAAACCCAGAGCAAAACAAGCGTTCTTAATTGTTAGTATTGTTTCCGTCATTGGAAAATTGGATTGCTTGCTACAAGGGAAAAAAATGTCTTTTTATATCACTGCGCTCCTAAAATTCAAAATTAATTGTGCCAAAATTGATCTATTGATAAAACTTTGAATACAATGAAGCTTTATTGGGATGAACCTTTTTTTTCTAATACATAACCGCAAATGTCGACATTTTACGACATTTAAAACAGACATAGGGAGTTAACACCATCCATGGTCAGTTCAGTTCTGATTTGACGTCACTTGAAAATTTTAACAAATGACGTCTCTTGAAAAGATTAATGGCCTTAAAAAATCTTGTTTGTGCGATCATTAAAGAAGCCTACGAAATAAAAGATACTTTGGAATTCGAGTTTTTAATTCTCCTACCCGTCCGTTATCTTGAAATAACAGTAAAAGATCGAAATAAAAGTCTATGTTTCCATTTGAATTGAAAGTGTGAAAAGCAAATCATGAACAAAGGCTTAGATTAGTTTAAACAATAAATGCAGTAAAACCAAAGGCAAACAAAAATAGCCGGTTGCTGTGCAAGTAGCACAGATTTTTCCGACCCGTCCTGAAAAATTACAACCAAAATGTTTTTTCAAATTAGTGTCGTTTTTTTTTCGGCGTGGTGTGATAAAAGAAGCTGAACAAAAAACGTAGTCACTTATTGTAAAATATACAAAATGGAAAACAATTTTTGAAGACAAATAACAAAAAAACAATGAAATTAAAAAAAAAATTAAATTAAATTTTTCAAAATTTTTTCCTAACTTCTGAAGTTTTTGATTACTAAGATGGAGCTAAAAATTCCAAAAATTAACTTCATTTGAGTAAAACTAAAGGCTTAAGGCTTGAAATAGGCATAAATAAGCTAATGTAAGCCTGCTCACTCCCTCGAAATTAGACAAAAAATCGCAAATTTCAAACCGGTTTTTGTCGACACTGCCAAAAAAACGTTTGAACTTTTTTTATTGTCGATCGAATCACGTATGAAAGAGCTTTAAAATGATATTTCACTCAGCCCAGTCCGACGATTGTTTGTTGCAGTTGGTTTTGCGTGGAAAACCAAAACCAAACAAAATAAAACACACACGAATACAAAGCTCCTCCCCGTTTTTAATGGTCGGAACAATAAGAACAATGGCCGAGCGGTCTAAGCTAAATTCCAAACCTAGTTTGAGCCCTCTTCTTAAGGTGTTGATTCCAGTCCCCCCCCCCCCCCAGGGCATACGGCCGTTTAGTTGTCAACAGGGAAAATAGGGCACTTTTTCTTTTTCTCCACCTCACATGATGTCGATTTCATGGTGTAACGAGCGGTTTTACAAGGTTGATTGTGAAGACCAAATATGCTTGTCCTTGTGTTTTATTTAGTCGGTATTCCTATTTATTTACTAATCCGACAATGTGAACAGAAAAATTACTCTAAAAAAATGCAGGTGGGAGGGGAAAAGGATAAAGAGCCGAAAATAGGGTTCGGTAACGGTTACCACATTCCTGTTATTTTACCTTAAAAATAACATAAATTCTATGTAATAGTTATGCACTAATTAGATAATAAGTAAGAATTTATTTGATTTTTGCCAAATCTTGTATACTGAGCTCGTATAAACGTTAAGCTAACTAAGAAGAATCGAAATCGACCAGGTCAAATACCGCTCTTTTGTCATGCTGTTACGCAATGTAGCCTTCACCTTCAGAATACATCCTAGGTTTCGGCATTACCGTGAAGCAACACTTAGATTGGTCGAATAATCTGAGCTCGGAAAAGCAAAATTGAAACTTTTGCTTTTTCATAAGAAAAGAGGCATTTGCGTCAGAATTCATATTGCTAAATTCTGAGAAACATGTAAAGAATGTGAGTCCTGTTGCAATAACTTTCCCCTTCATCGGCCCTGGTGGTCTTCTCCGGTCCACAGGCTGCAAAAACCGCCTTTCTGAAGTCGAATTTAGAACAAAACATCCCATCGTATTTGAAATTATTTGTAAATTATCAGCGCTGCAAACATTAGCACCAAACTATGGACTATATACGTTCCATCATCCAGTTCGATTAAGCCTTTTTGAAAATCAAGTCCTCATTTCGCAACATTGAACTTAATTGCCTAAATGACAAGAACAGAAAATGAAAACCGTTTGAACTGCCTGTTGAGCACTTAGGACACCGCCAGGTGCCATTCAAAATTGCGGCGTGGACTACTTCGGAGCCTTCTATAAAAACGGTTCGCTAGAGTTCAGAGAAACGTTGAGCCTTTTTGTTTACTTGTTCAACCAGAAGAACCATCCAAATAGCAGTCGGTTTGTCTATGGACGCTAGCTCATGCTTAATGGGAGTTGAGAGATTCATCGCTAGGAATAGAACTTCATTAGTAATTTGCACTGACAAGGGAGCGAATTTTGCACCCCCCTTTCTTGGACGCTAGCGTACACCATAGTGGCTCATGTGAGCGACTTGTGCGTAGTTTTAACCGACCCTGACACCTCGCAATAAGAATGAAGAAATTTTTCAGACTATTTTCTGCGCTGTGGAACAGTCTTTTAATGCGCGTCCCCTCATAACTGTTGGCAGTGACCCAAAACGATTTGAGGCAATTACGCCAAAACATTTCAAAAAGAGGCACTTTACAAAACATTACAAAAAGAGGCACTTGCGTCAGAATTCATGTTGCTAAATTCTGAGAAACATGTAAAGAATCTGAGTCCTGTTGCAATAACTCTCCGCCTTCATCGGCCCTGGTGGTCTTCTCCTGTCATCAGACCGCGTAACCGGTTTTTCTGAAATCAGATTCAGAACCAACAACTCAACATATTTGAAACTTTTTGTGAATTATCTGCGCTGCAATCATGAAAGCCAATCTATGGACTGTCTACGCTCCTTCGTCCAATTGGATTCTGCTATCTTGAAATTAAGGTCCTTACTTTGCAACATTGAATTTAATTGCATCTTGTGACGTAAGCAGAAGCTAAAAATGGTCATCATTTCATCGTCTGAGCTGCCAGTTGAGCTTTTAGGATACCGCCAGACGCCTTTTAATGACTGCGGCGTAGACTACTTCGACCTTTCTATGTAACGGTTTGCCGGAGCTCCGAAAAACGTTGGGCCTTTCTGAACACTTGATTAACCACACCATTCACATAGAAGTCGTTTCATCTATGGACGCTAGCTCTCGCGTTATGGGAGTGGAGAGACTAATCGCTAGAAGTGGTACCCCACCAATAATTTGGTCTGACAAGAGAGTGAACTTTGCTGGCGCAGAAAAAGAGCTTTTTTGCACTATTAACTCATAAACATCGGACCCGCCCTTCTTGTATGTAAAGGTATATAATGTAAATACAACCCTTCAGCCACGCCACACCATGCTGGCTCGTTGGAGCGACTTGCGCGTAATTGCAGGAGAGTGTTCTATTTGATTCTCACACCTCGTAATAAATTTTTCAGTTACTTTTTCAGGTACTACCCCTTAACACGTATCTTAAGTCTGAATTTTGGCTTCGCACTCCTCAAAACCGCTACAAGCGAATTATTTCGTCCTCTAATAGAACTTGCTGCATTCCTCGCTCTTTTGAGGCCCAAGGTTGTGTCCACTTGAATTGAAAAGGTCAAAAACAAATAATGAACTATAAATTCATAGCTTAGCGTTTACTTTAAATGCAGTACAGCCAAAGCCAAATAAGAACGCATAGCCAAGCGGTCTAAGCTAAAGTCCAAATCTAGTTTGAGCGCCCCTACCCCACAGCCAAGGCGTAGGCTCGAGTCCCCAATGCCATATGCCATTCAGTTGTGAATAGGGAAAAAAGAGTTCGATTACCTTATCATACTATTATTACGTATTAATTGAATAAAAAATCTGTAATAGTTTTGCTACAATTACAAACTAATTATAATAAACAGGCATTGCTGGTAAACGTACCAACGGTTAAGGTTATTTATGCTCTGTGAACGTTGATACTCAAGCTTGTTCCGATGCCAAATCATGATTTCTTCCTATGTTTTCTGCTTTTTTTTCAGATAAATTAGTTTGAAATTAAAATATTTAACGGTATTTTCCACTTGAGAGCATTTGACAGTCAACCGATCTATGATCCGTTTTACCCTACAGACTTGAGCAACGGGACAGACCCGAATGGTAGACAAAAGCCTACGTTGAACGGAAAAAGGATTTTTCATGTACTTGTTTCAGTATGATAAGGATCCTAACCCGAGCTGGAGTCTCATGGATAATATTCGATTATATTGGATTTTCATCATTGGTCTCTATAAAAACAAAAATAATTGAATAAAACGATTTAAAATGGGTGATAACGTAACTTTTTCAAATAACTAAAATCCATTGCATGCAATCGACTGTAATCAATTTTAATAATCTTTTTTTTTGTAATTTTTTTTCTAAAAATTTCAAGCACTGCAGTGTATTCGAAACTTAACAGTTGCTTTTGGCCTGAGACACGTTACAGATAAAACGAGATTTGATTTGACTTCAAAAATACTTTGGCCTAACAAAAATACTACACCCACGTTTACACCCACCCTCCACCCTCTTTCGCTTAAACCTCCTCGTTTACATCCCCACGTTCACCGCCTCCGACTTTTCACCACCACCACCCCCCTCACTTACTGCTCCTACTTGGAGCGAGATAAACGAGGGACAGAATGCACACAGTGGGATAAAAACGAGATGTATAGGCAAGTGGTGTTAACTTGGAAGGGTAAACGGGGGGAGGGGGGTAAGGTAAACTGGAGGGGGGCAGTGTGATCATTTAGGGTGTCAACAAATCAAAGTTTGTGAAACGTCTACGCTCAAATTTTTTTATTTTGATCTCAACTTGGAACGTCTCACAGGGTTTACAATTGAAATTAGAAGCACAGGAAATTGAAACCACAAGACAATTCTTCCAGCATTACGAGGCCAAACTGTGCACTGGATACTGGATAGGCGCACAGTTTTGAGACTGTATGTTCCTGGATTCCAGGGACAAATCTTTAAACTTGATAAAACTTTGACGCAACGATCAAAGCCCGCACGGGAGTTCCATGGATCATAATCGATTAAAATGGAAAATTATTGTCTAAAATGTTGTCATTATAATCCATTAATGGTGCAATATTAGACCACGAAATCGATAATATTGTCATTATAGTCGATTATTTTCGTACAAAACAAAATCGATTAAAATTCATTATAATGGATTATGATTCATTTAAAGTCAATTTTAATTGATTATAACGAAATTATTTGCAAAACTTGTGATTCGACAGTGAGTAACGCAGAAATGTTCCAAGTTTTGCAAATAATTTCGTTATAATCAATTAAAATTGACTTTAAATGAATCATAATCCATTATAATGAATTTTAATCGATTTTGTTTTGTACGAAAATAATCGACTATAATGACAATATTATCGATTTCGTGGTCTAATATTGCACCATTAATGGATTATAATTTAAACCTACTCAAGTTAACCCCCTTCACATTTTCCTATCCGCATTTGACCAAACTTCTTCCCCTCATTCCCCTACGTTTATCCCTACGCCCACCCCCATGTTTACTGAAGTTTACCCCCAAACCCAACCCCCAACTTACAACTTACCCCCCCCCCCCCCCCAATTTGTTTACCATTGAACGGGGACGGGGAGGGGGTTACTCAGTGTGAACATCATAGATATATCCTCATTCTCCATTTTAACCCCCTCACCTAATTTTTTTGTTCCACTCTCCCCCATTTTTACCCCGCCCACGTTCAGTAAACGGGGGAGGGGGTGTTGAACTAAGATAGGGTAAACTGACGAGGAGTAAACTGGGGTGGGGAGGTAAACTGAAGAAGGCGATTGTTAAAAGAGGCGATGGAGTTTACGTAAAATAGAAAAGTAGAGAAAACGCAAATAAAAAAAATCTTATGTGATAGGTAAAAATTTATGAAACGTAATACTTAGCAACTGCACGAAACAGGAAATGAGATAACTCTGGAAAAACTTCGCAAAATTCATAATTTCTTCTCAAAAAATACACTATAATCGATTACAAGCTATTATAAATGATTATAATGATTTGAAAAGTAATATGATTAAAATCCATTTTTATTGGATTATAAACGGTTGAAATTGATTATAATAAATTATATTGATTTAAAAAATATTTGGATTATAATCCATTTTTGATGGATTATAATTGATTATTTTCGTAATTTTATAGGTACTGACTATAAAATGACAATACATTCGATTATTATCCATGGAACTCCAGTGCGGGAGAGAATGAAAGAACAAAAGAAGAACAAAGGGAACGTTCCTGTTGCGGAATACGCGAACAATTCAAAAATAAGCAGTTTGGTCTCGTATTTAGTTTTTTTTATTTTACTAGGTTTTTGTGCCTGTTTCTTACTTTACTTTAACCCAGCCCTCCCTTTAAGTCTTTCTACCAAAACTTGGTCCTGTGTTTGGGGCTCACGATGATCCGTCCTTCGTTGCTTGGAGTGAGGCAAAAAAACCCAGCCGAGAAAAATAGTCAATAACTTGCAAGTAATTCTTAACCAGGGGCACAACAGCGTTTCTGGTGAAGAGCTGAACAATTCATATATTGGTCCTTTCTCTTGGCCATTTATAACTATTTCTATCTAATGGATGAAAGAACTTTATGACTAGTTTGATTTCAGGGAATACTCGATCAACCAAGTCATCAGTAAAAACTCCACCGAAGATGCCGAAATATATTTCGTCATGGAGGGATTCTGCACAGTTGTCAAGTGTCTGCTAATTGACACGTCGGTTCAGAAGTCAACAGTCGCAACTTCATCTAAAGATGTGACCTCGGATATGGCAAATGGCAGTGAAGACAGTGAACCGAAGAGCTCATCAGTGGACTTTGCTGACCTTTTAAACGACCAAATGAAGGCCAAGAAAAAGAGTTCAGCTGAAGCTCTAAGAAAGTTCAGCGAAAGTCAGCCCATCACAAAAAACAGTTTATTTCAAGCCATGGACATGACTTATGAAAACGACTTAAGTTCAGCAAGTTCAGCGGAACGCAAAAACCAAAGCGCGATAGACGAGATAATTCGTGAACAGAAAGAGATGGATTTGGAATCAAAATTGCAAAAGCAGCGAGAAAAAGAGCTGAAAACGATGAAAGACTCCACCCACTCGTTTACAGTGTTCGTCAGTTTGACCGAAAAGTCGGCACGATTTCAAAACAAGACGGCAGTTTTCCTGCAAGTGGGAAGACTTGAAGAAGGGGATGTGTTCAACATACGAGACTCAATGAACACTGATTCAAACCAAACCGACTTGATTTTAGGTAAAGTATTCTGTAGTTGGTATCTAAAAATATAGCGTGGTTTCATTAATACAACAGATTTGGAAACTCTTAATGTTTGTACTTTTTTCTTCAACAGACACGATACTTCAAGTTATTTCAAGATTTTGGCTCAAATGTGTTAACTCATTACATTCGATTCCCTGATGACCCAAAGGGCCCCTTTGGTATTATTTAGAGCTATCCATTTTTGGCTTACCAAACTAAAATTTTTTAAAGGGCCCATTCGGCGCACATGTATACTGATTTTGAGGGGGGGGGGGGTCGCACCGAAAAGAAAAAACAATTTTTTGGCCAAACTTTCAGAAAGTAAGGTCAAAACAGGGTTTTGGAGAGCTTGGCAAAAATCAATTTGGTAGACTCAAAAGAAAGTCGATAAAAATTTCGAAACTACACCCCTTCCTCGAGAAAATCCAACCAAGATCCGTCCCTGCTGGAAATCAAAGTTGAAATTAACTTTTTGTTTTTGTTTTTGTTAATCAAATTGAGATTTAAGGATGTTCAATTATCTCTGTTTTTCAGTGAGTGAAAAGTGCAAACTTCTCAAAGTCAAGGTACTAGACTTTGTACGTTCCCTGCGTAATCAAGAATTGTTCTTGTTTCTGACGACCAAAATAAAAAAAATGAAAACTTACTGTCCCGATGAAAAAGACATGATCAAATTGTACAAACGCAATTGCAACTGGGAAGCATACGGTCAATCACTCGTGAACAAATCCAAGAAGAAAGATCTGCTAAAACAAAAGCAGGAAGCTGATTTGTTGTTAGGAAAACCCTGGCGCGCTGATCCGGAATACTGGCTGGCTGTTTTGAGAGAAAAAACGCGCAAAATGGAAATCAAAACAAACCAGCCTCTCAAACCGCCAATTTATTAGGAAGACAAACCAGTATAAACAAAAAACAATCATATTGAAAAACTTTTATTAAATTTCTTACTCAAAGTTTGAAAAAACTTGTTTCAAAATTTTATTGAATATTATGAAGATTTTATTTTGCTTAAACTGAACAAAGTCAACTTATTTTCAAATGCATTAAGTAAAACTACTAAATTTATTTTCGATAATGTACTATAATACTGAACTTTCAAGAAACAGTTGTTACAAAAAGAAAAAAGACAAGGAAATTGTTTCAAAAAAGACAGGAAGGGAATTTCTTATGGGTTGTAATTTTCGCACAAAAAACAACGTTTTGTTAATAAAATGTGGCAGCAGCTTAAGAAACTTTCAGTCGTAATTACGATTCCAGAGAAAATATACAATATTCCAGAGTCCAAAAAAAGGTCTGAAAAATAAGCCTTTTCAGTCTAATTTTTTTATAAATTTTTTAGTTGAGAAGCCATAGGTAGAATCAGGAAAATAATTTTTTAAGCTGGCATTTTTGAACCGGGTTGAGCTGAAAAAAGTGAATAAGAATCAGCGATCGCCAACGGTGAATTATCGATGTTCATAGCAACAATAGTAAACTTTATCGATGGTTTATTGCTAATTTAGCGCTGGAAAAATTGCAATTTATTGTTGATGGATTATCGCTAATTTAGCGCTCGAAAAATAATCATTTATTTAGCGACGAAACAGCAATAATTCATGAATGATTTAAGAAATTTTATAACGTCCGTTTTTTAATTTAGTTGTCAAGCATGAGGGGGTCAGTTTGACAACTGTTTGACAACTGACCCACTTCCTTATTTTTCATTCCCCTTAACTAACACTTCCCACTTCTGTAATTGGGCGGGAGACTTTCCTGAGAAAATTTTTTATAAACAGTTGGAGCTACGGGCGAGGTGGCTCAAAATCAGAACAGAAAAAAATACCTGCTTTTTTCGAATTTTTTTCCAAGCAAACTTTTAGCCCGAAATGATGTAGAGCAGTCGGAATATTTAGGGCTTTTTTCTGCCCCGAGCAGTTTTTTATTATTGAAAAGTTATAAAATGGTTCCTAGTAATCACGAATATTCCAATTTTTTCAATTTTTAGGAAGAAATGACTAAAACGGTCAAATCGTTTTTCATTTTATGACTATCAAAAATTATATTGCACCCTTCATTTCATCTTAAACCTTTTTTTTGAAGATTCAAGATTTTTTTCTCGAAAATTTTTGTTTATCATAGAAAAATGCCACTTGGGGAATTTAAAACACTTGCAGTGGAATTAAGATGCGTGGTGGCATTTGAAAACGAAAAATAAAAACAAGCATAGTTCAGTTTGAAGTTGAAAGTTATTAGTCCTTAGGTTTTCTTCAGCGATATTGCACTCAAGTGATTGAAAGCAATGACAACCAAGTTGATAACTTTTAGTCAGTTGGAAAACGTAGAAGAGACTGGAGTTTAAAATTACATCAGGACGACAAGCTCGGTTTCGGAACTAATCGGTGTTTGTGCTGCCATCTAAGTTGCACGACAAACGATTTCAAATTTTGAGGTTTTCTTTTGACCTGACTGTTTTCGTAAAATTTGTAGCATCAGCAAACAATTAGTGTTTTTTAAAGGGGGTTTTTGTGCCTAACTAACAAACCGCCGTTTAACACAATGAGCCAGTTAGCATAAATAGTAAGGCGTTCAATATTATTCGATCCCCTGCCATGGCAACGATAGCGTTTGAGAAAGAGCTCTCATTTGACCTCTAGGTCTATCACAGCCTGACCAATTTTGGCTGCAATAGTGGTACCTCGTGAAAATTCTAGACACAAAAAACGGCCTTGAGTCGCAAAACAATTGCTTAGTCAACAAAATAACTATGTCTAAAACGTGGGGAAAAAGAGGCGGACTTTGCTTAGGCAAGCTTGATAGCCTTCAATGAAATCTCTGCGAATCAGTGAAACTGATTATTGTTCCGACTTTCGTAACAAAAGTAACGGAATAATTGTGCTCAGGCTTTTTTTTTCTTCAGACAAATTTCTATTTTATAACTGGCCATTTTTCACCGAATTTTTTTTATATCTTTCAAAAAATTTTGTTGTTTTGAGCTTAAATTCGAAAAGATATTTCACCTTTGAACTTTTTTCAAAAATGTATAGGGTTTAAATGTTGCCATTTTGGCCAACTTGAGACAATTAACGCGCGATATATTTCGCGCTATTAACGCGTAAGCGGAAACTTAACTCCTTTTAGAAATCGCTCCAAATTGGTTGAAGGAAGCTTATTCGCCATACTTGATTTGCTACTAGATGCGAAATCTATTACTTTGTACATAATATAGCGTGCAGGGGGATGATTTTCACAAAAAATCTCAGATTAAAAAAAATCATTCTTATTTTATTACATTTCTTTTTTTTTCATGTTTTTACTGCTCCATAGACCTTAAAAGGCAGTGGGAACATTCAGGGCTTTGCCCTGATACGAGCAGTCTTGTTGAATACTGAACAGGAAATTTTTATGTTTTTTCAATCGGGTCACCTTAACGGAGCATTTCATATGCAAAAATAGTTTCAAATGAATTCATAATTAGTAAAACACCAAAGAATTCCCAAAACCTTTAAATATTTTTCATACATCCTGGGGACATTACATTTATGTGCTGATAAATAGTAGATCGTTTGGGGATCAATAAAGAAAAAGCTGCCGTTTTTCCGCGAACAACCAAAAGCCTTGCTTGTATTACAGAGCTTAATTACTTCCTTAAAAACACATCAAATAGACGGATTTTGAATCGACCTACATCCTTCTAATAAAAATCGAAGACCGGCTTCCAAAATCCCACGTTTAACCTTGTCATATATTCTGGAACTATATTTAAAAAACTGGAACTAATATATTATGGGCATTTAATTCAATCATAAACAAAGACTTTTAACTTCGTATAAATGAGCTACACCAAAAAACTAGTGGAACAAAACTGAGGTTTAAATGAGCGTGGATACACTAGCCAACAAATGCGACAGCGGAAAGTGAGCATATGCAACCGCAGTATTTTCACATGGTATTTAGTATCTGTTGATTATACTTAGTCTGGTTTATATAACACTGGTCAACGTGTGACAAATAGCTGGGTTTCTATAAGAAACACATTTTCCATGGATGAAAAAAAAATGAAATTAGTTAGGCCATTCAAATGGAATGCTCTAAACTCAATCTGATTCTACAAAAAATACAGTGTTGATTTAAATTATCCGGGCAAAAAAAATTCGCCAAAACTAAGAGTTCTATTGATTTTAACACCTAAAATATATATTTCTTAGCATAGTATCAAATTTGTACACTAATCAACAAATGCAGATGCTTCGATTTAAAAAAAGATTGCTCGTATATCAGGGCAAAGCCCTGAATGTTCCGACAATGTTCCTTAACCTCTATCAAATATTTTTTGGAAAAAGGTACTGAAAATACTTATACTGAGAAAATACTGAAAATCTATGAATTTTGGACAGTATATCAAACATCAAGTGTAAAAATTCGAGTCGTACGAAATTAATACGATTGATAAGCTATAGCCTCAATTCAATTTGAAACGATTTTTTTGGCGGGATAATTCGCCACACAGAAATAATTCGCGTCACGATTTCAACATTATGCAAAAAGTTCGTTCCAATTCCACATTAATTAGTCCAGAGCATGGCCAAATTAGCAATTACCACACTCCCAGAACTAGCAATTACCACAACTCCCACTTTGTAATTGATTTTAAGGGAACCGGTATCTTCAACGGAAAGTAAAAAACTGTTAAAAACTGTTCTTTCGATCGCCGAAAATTGACTGATTGAAAAAACCACACCGAGCATAAACATTCCGTTTTCTTCGAAAGTCAGAACAACAATGAATGTAGTCGTCCTAAACTGCCGAAAATACTTCAAAAATTGACACATTTTTTGTTAACTGTTGTAGTTTGTTTCTCATGAACTTGTTTGCACAAATTATAGCTAATATGTAAATCTGGAGTTAGCGGGGCAAACCTCCAATAAATTGAAAACCACTTATTTTGTAAAAACAATTGTCAAAAAGTTTAAAGTATGGCAACTGGCATGGTCATGCTGGAGAATTTCGTCCATATGAATATTTTGAATCATGTAGTTTTTCAGCAGCTTGCAATATTTGGCCAAACTTTTGTTTCTATGAAAACTTCATGTAGCTTCAAAGTATCCCCCCGTTTTTCCACCAAATTTGCTATTAGAGCGATGTAATTTAATGATAACGCCTATATGGTGGTCATTTCGCATATACTTGAGGCTGCTCGTTGCTTGAGGGTGAGGCAGAAAATTAGCCAAAAAAAAGTGCATGAAAAGCTTAACCATTGGCACAACAGCGGTTCTCCGTGAAGTACTGAAAAACTTTGCGTCAAACTTCTAGTTATGCACAAATTTTTGGGTAATTTGGCGCTTATTCGAGCTGAAGAGCTTTTTTTAACATTTGATTGCATTCTTTTGGCTGATGAAATGAAACTGGTTCAACTTCTTCGAACTCTTGGTACGTCGCAAAACTACTTTTTTGCAATCAAATGAATCTAAGTTTAATCTCTCTCTCTCTCTCTCTCTCTCTCTCTCTCTCGGTAGTTTTTATTGGCTAACGTTTTTGTATCCAATGTTTGTCAATTTCTCAAAAAAGGCCCAAGTTGTAGATAAAAGAACTTTATATGTTTCCGATATTCTTTGTAAACTATGGATGTGACGCAGCGAAAACAAACCCCAGAAAAATACAGTATAATTTATTTTTGGTTTTTGGAATATTTGTTTTAAAGTTTATTGCGAATGGAGTCTGTAAAAAAACGTTTAATTTGATAATGAGAATTTTTTCAAAGATATTATCGCCGATTTAAAATTTATTTCACACCTTTAGTCCGACTAATTAAATCAGCACTGTAGAACCAAAGCAAAAGAATACATACACAATGAGCCGTTGTTCATCTTTGGGTGGACTTTAGGCTCATAGTTGCTTTTTAAAGGCTCAAAAATCAAGCTTCATACCAATAAGAGTAAGACTAATAGGAATAAGAATTTATTTCTCTGGATCATAATTTTGATAGCTTTGAAAACCTAAAATCTACGTTATAAGAACTGCTCCAGAACATACAGCGGAGGGAACTGATGATAATGCCCTTTAGGTGAAACAAACATGCTTATGAACATAATTTTAATTTAAAAACAAAAATAACCGGTTGCCTGCAAGCAGCACAATGTCCCGACCATTGTCAGAAAAAAAAACATTTTTTTTTTCAAATTAAAGCCGTGTTTTGCATGTGATATGATGATTGAAATATATGAATTATACGAACGCGGGAAAAGTTGAAGAGTTAAGCATATTCGAAAACAATTGCACTCAAAATAAGGAAAAACAAAAAATCAAAAACAAACAAAAAAAATAGCCAAACTGACCAACTTTCTTAAAACGAAACTTACTCGATAACATTACTTGCTCAACAATGAATTTTGTCTCAAAGATTCCGTAACAGTTTTTCTCAAAACTGGAAAGTTTTTCTGGAAAATTTATAATGTCGTTGGAATTATAATATGATATATCACTTGACTAGGGCATGGATCAATTAACCGGTTGAAATATAATTGAAACTGTAACCGCGGTCAAAATTTTTAACAGCTGAAATTGTTCAACAGAGGTTACTGCTAGTAAACAGTCGGTTCTCTTAACGAATATTTTCTGAATCTTACGATTGAAAGCCCTTTTCATGTTCTCGAAAAATTGGTATAAGAACGTCAACATAAAAAAAACCACATTGAATTTGATTTTAGCAAAGGTCCAAAAATTGACATTTTATCAAAAAACTCGTGTACTTTCAAACAAAACCTCGCTATTTGTCATTCTGTTTTTGAACAAAAACGCTTCACTTGAGTGAAATAAAGTTAAATTTAAACGATTTCAATTTTCATCCGAAACATCACGAAGTTATCCAGTTAAGCGGTCAATATAACCCAGTTAACGGGTTAGACTAAAAAAATAACATTGCATGCCCAACACGTGACCCATTCCGTTGACTATTTGTGGCACCTGATTTTAGGTGAAGAACAAAAATTAAACACACCCGAATACAAGTTCTTAAAAGTTTTTGATGGTCGGAACAAAAATATACAAGGTAGAAATAGATTCTATAACTTTTCAGAAAATGTTTATGAAGAAGGTAGTTGTTTCTTGGGTGGCATAGGTAGAGTGCCCATGTACTTGCATATTATCTGTAGCATGATCTCGTCTGCTCCCGCTCCTGAAACAAAAGGGAGATTGAAACTATTGACCAAATCGAGTTCTCAAATGAGCACTCTAAAGTAGCAAACTTAGCTTTTAAGATGAAAAAACTGACTCAGCTATAAACTCATGCCAGGTTTATGAAAAAACTGCCTTAGCCAGGTTTATACAGCTATCCAGGTTTTAGGCGAGTAAGTTTAACACCAATTTCTAAGCCCAACAAAAAGGCTCGTCTCATGGTGAAGCCCTAAGGTTCTTAAGTATGTAGATCCATGAACGCATCCGATTTATGTGGTTTTTCAATGCCAAAAAAAATCAAAAATGCGAGAACTTAGTTTTTTATTCAAAACTTTCCCAAACTATTTCCCCAAATCTTTCCCTGCAATTAGACGCAATTTTTACTGAGAAAAAAAATTCGCATCTATCAACGCGATGGCTGGATCAATAATTAAGCGTGTAGATTCAATTTAGAATGAGGGGGAATAGCGCGCTGAAAAAAAAAACAATTTAGTTGGGCAAAACCTTCCAAAAAGTGCCCAAAATGGCACTTTTGGCCCGTTGTTTTAAATTATGCTTGCAGCACAGAAAATATGTACAAAATAGAATCTTTATAGTGTTATTGGAAACCTCGCATTGTTAAAAAAAATTAAAATCGAAGTTTTATTTAGTGTTGTACCGGTATCCGGAATCCGGTTCGATTATCCGGTTTTTCGAGAAATTATCCGGAATCCGGTATCCGGAAAAAAGGAGAGAAAAACTAACCGGATTCCGGATATTGATTTTTAACGCAGAAAAAAATGCCCAAAAAATGTTTGAATTCTTAAAAGACAAAACAACAACAGAAATGATTACAAATCATTTTAACAAAAACAAAACCAAATCACTTCAAAAGTGGAAGATTATCATGTAAAAGCACCAGTATTTCAGAGAAGTTGCTGTTGAGCCGGTTTCGTTTCTCAGAGAGAACATTGCCAGATGTACTGAAAACTCGTTCACTTCTGACTGAGGAAGCAGGTGCGCTTAAGACTTGTTTCGCCCAATTTTTTAGTGCAGGAAACCGCGTCTCTGATTTCCAGTAACAAACTGGATCTTTAAGAGCCATGTTCGATCTCGGCAACGAAGAGTATTCAGAAATTTCGCTATCGAGATGGGAGACTGTAGATGGGGTAGCAGGTGTAACATCTTCTTCTGCCAACCAGAAGTTGCAAGAACTCTGTTCACGAGGTGCACTGTTTGCTTCTGGCGTGATGACCTCAATGTCAGGTGTTTCACCCAGAATGTCTTTGATTTGATCCAAAACGACAGGGGAGATGTACTTGTCTTTGAAACGCGGGTCTAGGAAAGTAGCCAAGCAAATGTAAGCATCCAAAGTGTAATAATTGAAACGTTTGTCCAGAGCTTCTATCAGACTAGCTTTGAACGTTTGGACTCCATGGTCGTCTCCAAGATTCAGAAGATGAGATCGCAAGAGAGAGTAGCCTGGAACTATGAGCGACAGACTTGAGGTGTCAGCTGACACATCAAGAGTGAATTGCTCACATTTTCCCGACCGGAATTTCCCAGTCGTTGACAAGATTTTGCAGTTTTTCTGCAATGTTGACTCCTGAATGTGTGCCCGGGAAAGGAGACGTGTTCAAAACTAGAACTTTACGCACATAATCGGTGTTCACAAAGCAGCACGTCAAACTCAAAAACACATGTTGTTAACCTGTGAAGTCCAAATATCTGTGGTTACAGATATGAACTCACCAGCTATGAGTTCTTTCATTTTCGTTTTCACCTCTGTGAAAAGCAGGTCAATTTCGTTTCGAATGTAGGGTCTGGATGGAAGACAGTACCTTGGCTCTATTGTAGTTAATAATTCTTTGAAACCAGAATCTTCGACGATTGAAATCGGTTGAACATCAAGAGCAATCATCTCAGCCACTTTTCTCGTTATTTTTCGGGCTTTCGAATTGTCATGCGGCCAAACTCTCACGTCTTCGAATGCTGAGAGAATAGATGGTTGATTTGCCGGTAAATTCTGCACAATCGAGGTTCCAGGCTGACTCAGTGCAGCTTCGTACTTTTCGAATAAGTTGCGATGTTTGGAGCGCAGGTGATTCACGAGAGGAGTAGTAGAGTAGCTGGACGGGTTTTGTCCTCTTTTGATCGCTTGTTGGCAAGAAGAGACATTGCATTTAGCATGCGTGCTTTGGTTCGACTGTATGTTGAAATAGTTCCATATGAGAGCCCGCCTCTTGTCCATGATTTCACTAGCTCGGGCTCGACAACAACTTCGTCTGAAATCAACCACTTGCTTTGTTAGCACAGTGAACTAAGTTCCCAGCTTTGATGTATGTGAAAAGAGGCACTTTGGCTGAACAAACAAAGTGTGAATTGCGCGTAATTAAAGAACATTCTACTATCCGGAATCCGGTTCAATATCCGGTGAATCATGGCAATAATTATCCGGTATCCGGAATCCGGTAAAACTCAATCCGGTTACAACACTAGTTTTATTCGAAATTGAAATAAATTTGGCCGCTCTCAAAAAAATCCTATTCAAACCCTGCTAGCCGCGAAAAAATCCTAGATCAGCCTATGCAAATAGCTACAACAAAAATGTGAACTGTTCATTTAACTCTTTACGAATAATCTATATCAACTCCATACTACATTGTCTTTGGTTAAGGGGAACTTTTCTCAGGATAGAACGAACGAATTACAGAAAATTTCCAGCCTCTAATGAGGTCTTTATATTGTCTATGTAGCTGAATTTCAGGCTTTTGAAAATCTTTTCAAGATGAAATTCTGATTGGCAATTACAATTTTCTACCATTAGGTGATTCAGTTACGAGCGATCCTCTTTAGTTTAGATTACCAATCGAGAGAAGTCGAAGATCCCTGAATGCTCTGTTCACGTGCGTCTCTCTAGAATATCCCATCCCTCCCCAGAACTGAAGACAGGTGTCTGCCACTTCCCTGCTAAGTCTGCCTGCTTTTAGCTTCACCATCGAGGCTAGTTTTGTGACGTCATAGCCTTGTTGATATAGACCCACACATCTGTAGATGGAAGACCTACAGGATAGAAACGCAATGGCAATACAGCAAAACAACAGATATTTATAAAATATGGCTGTTTTCCTCAGACTTTTTGCAACATTTTTTTCGTGTTTCAAATAATTTTTTGCTTAAACTACAACTTTGTACATACTGTCCAACTTTTTGTTCGTTTCATAATTTCATAATCATTGAAACTACTGATTGCATCATTAAACTTAAATTTGTGCTATGTGGTGGAGTAATTTTTTTTAAAAAAAATTGAGAAAAAAAGCTGAAAAAAATGATCTCAAAAGTGAAATTGAAAAAAGCCGACAATACTTGAATCGATGCCAGTTGAGACGAATGAAACAAAATTGTTGTAATTCGAGCTACAAACATTTTAAACTTGAACTTTTGTGCAAATAGAACAAAATGTTCCGAGCATAGTCTTTAAAGAATCCAAAAACTTTTTGCAACGTTTTTTCCTGTTTCAAATACATTTTTGCTCTCTAAGTGTTTGTTGTTTGTATTTTCATAAACATTGAAACTACTGATTGCAACAAAAAAAATTTAATTTGTGCAAGGTGATGGAACAATTTTAGAAAAGTTTAAAAAGCTGAAAGACGTTATCTCAATTTCTGGAGTACGCACTGAAATTTAAACTTGTTAATTCAGGATGGATAATCAAAATTATAAACATCAGGAAAAGACCAAAAAGTATCAACTATCAGAATATACTATTTTCAGTCTTGACTTTGCAGCCATACTGTAGTTGTACCAACTTGGATCTATTTAGCAGCTCCCTTTGGTATCCAGAAACTTTTCTCCCATAAAATTTTAGCAGAACGTTATAACTGTTAAGAAATGCAAATTTTATGAAGATCTGCAACTAGAGAAAATAAATGTCTACAGCGGTGAATAGAGAATGAACACAGAGGCGAGCAATGTAATAAAATGAAACGAAGCCATAAAATCTGTTTAAAAAAATTTTAATGTTAAAAAGCTACATGTAAAAATTTTCCATACATTTGTCTCAAATGATGTTCAGTTTGAAAAAGACATGTCAAAAAACACATTCGCCGGAGTTGCATAATCATTTATAAGTCATCGAGCTGCAATCAAACCGACAATTCTTGAATCGACCCCATTTGTGCCGAATAATACAAAATTAGTGTCATTTGAGCTATAACCTTTTGATACTCGAAGTTTTTACCCCCTCCCCTCACCTCGGGAAAACCACAAGGAAAAAAATTTATAGTCTTTCAAAAAACGCAATATTAGGAAAACTTATAATTACAGGAACAAATCAAATGACTTTTAATTATATTTTTAAAAAATCTGAGTTTGATTTCATTTATATTTAAATGATTGTGTTGGTTAGTTTGGTTCTTAGAAAAAGTCTGTGATACGACTTGCTAACGCTTGTTATCGTAAGAGTAACAGTTATCAAATCTAGGCGTCAGATCAATTTGAGATCAATTCCGACGAGATATCAATTCCGCCGAGTCCACTGTTAAATCGACGTTCAAAAAGTCCACGCTAATGGCATGCCCCATCTATACCGTCGGGGGCAAAAACACTGGAGTAGGGACGAGAAGAAATCCTCGTCAGTCGAAATAAACGAAATCAATGTCGTCACGAGGAGACGACGAGGTTACTACTACAACAAACTAGGCGTCACATCGTCTTAATTCCTGGGAATTATCCAATAAACTGAAAACTATGTGGAAGCTCCTCTGAAATTGTTGATCAGAAAATGATCAAGATAGAAGCACAATTTATTGAAGAAAAAATATGTTATAAGCAATATAAGCTATTATTTAATTGTGAGGCAGTATTGAGCTTGAAATCTGTAAGAAACCGACTATTTTTTAAGCAATGCTCCAACGATTGCTTAAATCTTAGTTCTCTAATTGAAAACCTGGACTGACCTGAGCATTTCCACCTCTGTTTCTAACTCGGCCAGTCTGAAGTGGATGTACTGGTTGTGAATCAATGGCTTCCCAAACGTCTTCCTAGATAGCCCCAAAGCAAACCCCCAAATTCAAACCAGACATACGAGATGCCAGTGAGTCATTTCAATTAACTTGACAAGTAGCACTTGGTCAACTTAAGTCGAAAAAATCCGATGTGCTCAAATGCCATGACAAGACAGCTTCAACTATTCAAAATATTACGAGCAATTAGCCAAAAAAATAAAAATTATTTTACTGTTATTTGCTAGGACACTTTTACAACGTGGTGATAAGAAGAAATATCCAAGCAAAACAGATCAAACCTAAGAATTCAAAAGCTTTTTTATTTCGTTCTGGTAAATTTAAACACTAAGCGATGAATACAAAATTTTTAAAGAATTATTTTGAAAAATCTTATTAAATGTTATGTTCAAGGTGTGCGTTTATCGAAAACCTATATACGAGACTTGTTGAGAATCGAAATTTCATTTAGTCTTTTTGAAAGTCAAAAAAATTCTGCAAATTTTGTAACTTTATCTGGTTTGTCGTTTTGAAACTCGAAAAAAGTGTTTTCGCTTCCTGCTTTCTTTTCGCTAGTGTATTTATCTATATCAAATTTTGAGCCATAAATATTTAGTTGGCCCATAAACAATTGATATTTCTTTCTTTCTAAAATCGCAATTTTTTGTAGGTTTGAATTTGTGAGTGATAAAATATGTTTGTATGGTGCTCCTTTCCTTTCACTTGTGTATTGTATCGTGTCGCTTATGAGTCTGAACAGGGTCTCCACTATACTGGCAGCCCCCCAGATCCTCTCCTCCTGGAACTGCATCATCTGGTACACAAAGCCCAGTCCCTCTTCCCCTATCAAGTTCTCCTCCGGCACCTAAAAAAGACAAATCTTGCCATCGAGTAAATGAATATGATAAGTAGCAAAAAAATCGGTCACGCAAAACGCAATGTCAAAAAATATTATTATGCTATTTCTAGACAAATTTGGCTAGCTAACTTAAATTTTCATGCAAAATAGGTCGATTACTCTTCTCCTTTTAATTTTTTCTCTGCCCAGTGTTGGTCAATTTTTGTCATTTTTGGAAAAAGGACGTTTAAAACGTCATTAATGTTTAAAACGTCAAAATTAAAAACTGAGCAAAAACGTTCATTAATAAAATTCAATCATTAAGAGCACGCATACAAAATTGAAGTTTTGCAGTTTTTGCACTGTCCAAGTTGTTTCTTTTTCCATCTTCAACCATTCCCATCGTCGAGAAAACTATTTACGTATGAAGTATGTCAACTCGAAAAAATAAATAATGGCACCATAGGCGGCTTTAGAAAACATTTTAAGCGTTCGACGACAAGGAAGTGTCCCAAAATATTGACAGAAAGGGGCATTTTGGACGTGGGGGGGGGGGGGGGGGGGGGTGGTCGAACTTCCAAAAGTTGACCCTCTGCTAACTCTGTCCCCTGACTTATAGGGCAGATATATCTTCTCTGAACTGTGTGCAGATATGCTGACCTTGACATTGTCGAAGTATATCTGTGCCGTATCTGAACTGTCCATCCCCAGCTTCTCAATCTTCCTCGCTCTCTGCACGCCCTCTGAGTCCAAAGGCACGCATATCAAAGACTTGTTCAGGTGTGGGGGCGCAGAGGGGGGTCCAGTATTGGCTAGCATACACATCCAGTCGGCCTGGATTCCATTTGTGATCCACATTTTGTTGCCTGAATTCACAAAAAAAAGAATAGTCGACTAATTGTTTTCACGCAAATCCCACATTGAGAGCCCTCTGCGAATACAAAAAACACAACAGGACTTTGAGCACAGACGGTTCTATAAAACAACAACAAAATAGCACCACATCATCAAAAAAATGGAGCTACAGAACAAACGACATTTTGAACAGTAATATGATGTCAGACGACACAGCATTTAAGTTTGAGCGCCAAAATCGGGTGATCAAAAGCAGTTCAGGAAGCAGTCAAAACAACAACGCCAAAAGACAAATTCACGGTTATACTCTCAAAACACAATAGCTCATTTAAGAAATTAAAGACGAATCTGAACTCTACGCCGAACAAACAAAACAGGAAAACAACGACGGAGAAGGGAAAAACGGACACAAGTACCAGGTAAATATTTTTAACGAGCAGTAGCGGGGAAAACAACAATCAACTGACTCTGGACAACAACCTTACAAACTTCTTCAACCCATCTTTTCAGGCACTAGAATACACAGGGAAAATCAGATCAGACAAATGAGAGAATATTGTGGATACAACAAATGAGGTGTTAGCTACCGAACTCAACGGAAGACATGATCGAAGCGCGAATGGGGTTGTGGACAACGGAGCTTCAGTCAATTGAACGGAAACATGATTTCATCATTTTCTAATTCAAAACTTGGCAACTTCGGACGTTTTCCTTACTACGACTCTCTATCAAAAATCTGCTTACTTGCAAGCTTGGTCACTGGAGGAGCGTATGCTACAACAGGGAATTTCTTGCAACGAAAATTTATTTGAGGATGCAACTGGAGAGTTGAGACGATGTTTCGGCTATTCTACAGCATTTAATAGCATTTTCATCAACAGACTCCTCCGGTTTCCACGAGATGTTACAGGTAAGCCCGAAACACTGATAGCGTGCGCTCAATTCGCATTAACTTCGACTCGCACGCTTGAAGTACTGGAAACTTCTTTCGATCTACAACCCACGACTATATTGAACCACGCTACTGAGAAGTTGTTGAAAACGAGCTTGTAAAAAGGACCCCGTTCCTTATTCAACGGGACTTTGAACATCCATCACTGAAAGATTTCAACAAGTGGTTACGAACGCCGGCTGAAGCAAATGAACGATCGTCTCTTATGACAACGATACCGGATGAAGCAACCTAGTATTCGAATAAAACGCTAAGCTAACAAAAACTAGGACGGTATCAGACTGGCAACAGAAATGGATTCATGAACATCTAATTCTAATAAAAAATTTCAGCTTCAAAACAATTGATAATTGCTGCGCGACAGTACAACAATAAACCTCTGCATCAACTGTTGATTGACGGGGTACATGTCCTGTAAATGTCTATCAAAAAAGAATAGCCGCTCTCTGGGTTGCAATATGCAGCATCATAAACTTCTTCACGTAGCAAACTGCACAACACGACGGGAAACAAGATTTAATAGTAACAATCATCAAGAAATTCCATAGTAACAAGTCAACACCAAGTTCTTGAACCTACAGTATAAATGGCGTCCATGGAGTATTTTACCAGCCATTCATTACTATCAAGAGCACAAAATCAGCAACGTTTTCGATCACCGAAGTAAGATGACAATGATTTCGAGAAAAAAGCAACCAATTTTATTCTTGAAAAATTGGAGCGATAACAACTTTGTCTTCAGGCGGCCAATTGCTCAGTTGTCATAACTTAATCAACAACACTCTCACAGACAGCAACCGTAAGCGGATTTGAAAGTTTTGACTTGAAAAACGCTTGTGTAGTGGATCAAATTTTGTTACCAACACTTTAATGGCATCCAGCCAATACAGTGATGCAGTAGAAAAATTTTAAGGAAATTGGCTATCCAAGGCACGAAAAAAAAATAACTAAACTCTTTGGACAAGATATCTTCAATTTGATCTCGCAATTCAAAGGAATCTTGGCTCTGCAAACACCCCAAGCTCGAGTAAACTCAAATTTGGGTGGCCTCTCTTTAGATTACATGCACTTACTACGCATAAAATTAGTTTGATGCAGCATGTTACAAAATTGTGAGTCAAGTCTGGACCAGGACAGAAGCATTTTCGACGAAAAATCTCATTGGTGGAAAGATAATTCACATTCAACATATAAAGAGAAACTTCAACCACGGGAAGTCCAACGAGCAAAAAAAACTTGCGGAAAACATGCTGTTTGCTGCCACACGGAAGATACGAGACATGCCTTTTAGGGGTAAGAACTCGAATTTACTAACAATTGGAAGTACAAATGTTTTATTGTACATCTTCTTAACATCCGAAAAAGTACAACAAACACGACAAAGGCAAACAAAAATGTTAGATTGAGGCTTTCTACAAATATTGCCAAAAATTTAAGAACGAAAATATAGTAAAAAGCACAAAATAGACATGTCAATCCAAACAAACCGGAAAAGCTAAACGCATGATCGAACCAAATGTGCCATTTGGACGCGTTTGCTAAAAGGACCAGCTACTAGATGGACCAGATAAGCTGCGTATCATGCTATACATCATCTTTCTGTTTCGTGTTTTTGCAGTGCCTAGTAAAACGAACTAGAGGGAATATTCATGCAAGTCAGCGATTGACAATCGGACGGAAATATTTACGCTTTCTCTAAAACAAAAGCTACTGATAATTACAAGGGCCAACCACATATATTCGGAGCACGAGATTCACTTGCTTGCGCGAACTTTGCCTTGCAACAGACTGCCAGAGATATTGCCAACAACAAGAACAGTCAAAGAAAATTTTCATATGGACGCTTTAATCCTGTCAAAGGAAATGGTTGACGAAGCAATAACTTTGGCAATGCAGCTGGAAAAAGTTGCTTCAAATTGAAAAAGTTGTGCATCAACAGCCGTAACTGTTGTGCCAGGATTGCGGAAACCACACTAGTGAAACCTTTGACAGAGAAGTTTGAAGGCAATTTCAATAAACGCGATTTAGTCAAAAAGGAGAATCTAGGGACGAACAAAAAGATATGGACACACAGGAACGTTCTGTTAGTTATTTTTAGCTTCTACGATCCCTTTTGAAGTGATTTAATTATCCTTATTACAGTTAAAATCTTCCTGCAAATTATATAGAGATGAGGTCAACGATGACACTTACCATTTGAAAATCAGGTTTGTAAAGCAGAAACAAGCTTCAGCCGGGACTTTTGTATTATCCGGAAAACGCTCCAGTTTCGCTGAAAAGCCGGGTTACATCCTTCTCGCCTTTGCTGGATGCGGTAATCAGTCGTTCGAACAGTCAGATAAATCGGTTCTGTTATTCTCAGCTAAGCTACTCAGACCACTATAGATGCAAGAAACAGAAACTTGCGCTTGTTCAGCAATTAAAAGAAATTCGATTAAAAGCTTCGAGTGTCAGCGTTAAATTAAATAGAGTAGTCAACCAATCATGGCTTACATACCAGCGTACAAACTAGTCGCTTTTCAGTAAACAGGAAGGGATTTTATTTGGATCTTTTAGCGTCTACACAAACAACAACGAAATTTGACGGATGTATTGACGCCTAGTCACTTGCCTAGTTGTTAGAGCAAATCTTATTAAACCACCTAAAACTTCATGGACGAATCCTGTGTAATGTTGTGTCAAAAAGTTTTTTGCTTCATTGAAGACTACCTTCTAGAATCCATATTGACAATACTTTCAACTTCCTCGGCACAACTAAGACTTTGAAAGGAATAGGTGAAGGACAGGAAAATTAGAGAAACAATCATACACCCTGGGGCACTGATTTCTCGAAGAGCAGGGCAAAGGTTAGCTTCCATTAGCAAACCGCTCTTCTTTGCCATTGCTGGATGAAAAAATACTACATCAGGACATCTCAACAACAGATTTAAGTCAAAGAGAAAATTTTTGAAAACTAGACTACTGGCATCAATTAGTACTGACCTTTAGGACATTGAATGTCATTCGACAAGTCATGTTCTTACAGGAATGATCACCCCAAAAAATCAGTAACACGTGCATTCAAAACAAGACGGCTTCCACAAAACAACTCTGGATAGAAGTCCACGCAATAATGGATCAATTTTGGGCTTTAAATCTTACGGAACATTTGCCAAGACTGCGATGGCGCGACAAATGGACAAAACGGGTTGACATTGTTTTGATAGGGGATTTTGTACAGATATTGAAAGCAAACACACGTGGGAAACTTGGCCGGCAGGTAGGGTAAATGAGGTACATGATAGTAGGTACGTTACTGGAAACCGTGTTTCGGTGAAACACAAAAAGAGGGGTTTGTCGAACCTCTCGTTATTCTCAGTCTTAACGGGGGAGAAACAAAAAAACCATCGAATATATGATAATTATAACCTAAAACATTAGCTAAAGATCAGAAAAAAATAAATGGAACGCTATTTGGTAAACAATACCAAACGGAAAACAGCTAGTAAAAGTTTTTTGGGTGAACAATTTTGATGAACGGTGTCACGAAATTAAAATTAAGATGGCGCAAAAATGAAGAAAAAAAACAATCAAAGTAAAAAACAAAAAGTTTCAATTATACGGGGAGAAACAGCAATAAGGAGTAAGAAGTCATAATACAACTAAATATTGGCAATCATGATTATTGGAAAAAAAAGTTTTCATCGTCTAAATAGATTTGAAGCAGGTGCAAGTTACTCTAAGAACGATCATAGGTAGAACCATATGAAACTAACTTGAAGAATATATCGTTTAAATCGGCACACGAAAACATACTTCAATTATTTTTCGGTACAAGCGATAAAAACGGTTGATATAGGACATGATGTTTGATATCGAACAGCACACAACAAGTATAAACATCATTTTCGGGAAACAAATGGTGGCGGTAACGATACCAGGTATTAAATCATTTCCTCACTGTCGGCAACACAATTTTGAAACTTCACAGTTAGAAAAGCTTCAATAACAAATTGAGTTTGCAAATTTGGAAGGATGATTTTCAAAAAGGAATAACATGGTTTGGAAGAACGATTTGGT